GACTATTTTTTTAAACAATATTTGAGCAAAAATTCGAAACCCGCCACAGCTAATTGAAACTTGAAATGCCAAAGATGCCTCTTTGCTAGGAAACTTGCTCAAAACCTCAATGGGGCCCGAGGACTAATGTGGCATGCCCCCAAATGCCACATAATTTTGTTCCACATGAACTCTTTTGCGAAACATTTGCCTGACTGACCAGACCACACAGTTTACACGACATATACCTAAAAGTATAACTTTTTGAACCCTGTCGTCTCGCTTGCTTAAACTTAAACTTTGACTGGCCAACTTTATGAACTTGGAATGTTACGTAACGTTAAGTTTCACTTCTGCCTTGCTAAAGAAAAAATATAGTAGTAGAACGAGCAGGTTGAGGAGCAAAAGAGGTGGCAGTAGGGGCAAGACGTCGTTGTCTGCACAACATTTAAATTTTCTATTAGCTGTGCAAGTTTTTCAACTCAAATGATGAGTTGTTCTACTAAGTGGATGGCTGAGGGGCGAGATGGAAGCGTGTGCTGAACAGGTGCAGTTGAGTGCTGCTCGAGTCTTGCATATTTTGGGCAACTTAAATTAAAATATTGCCAACAGCCAGTAGTGCAGAGTGCAACATAAAAAGCAAGTGATGCAAGGTGATGGAAAGTTTATATAGCTCTTAGTTTGAAAAAAATATAAAACTTAATCAGCCCAAATGTGGTATAGAAATTGTAGAAGCTGCTAAAAGTCACTGCACTGGTCGCTCTTATTTCGATTCTAACATTAATTCGCAACTACTAAGTAAATTATTTTCAAAGTGAAATGCAGGTGTGAACATTATTTATCTCTGGATTCTAAATACAGAGAAGCCACGCATATTCCTGAAGCGAGTGCAATATAATCAAATTATTTTAAGCAGCATTTAACATTTTATATTTAAAAATTATTTATTTATTTTAATTATTTATGTCACCAAACAGTGATAAAAATAATCTTACAATTTATGAACAAGAAAAATGTGGACTTATTAATAATAAAAAAAAAACAAAAAACATAGCAAAATTAGTGACAGAATAATTTGAATTAATTATAAATTAATTAACCTAACAAGACAGCAAAAAGTCTCGGACTTAGTCAAGTAAACTATGTGTGGTCTGGGATTTGGGAGGATAGAGAGTTTTCTTAAGAGCAAAAGAGAATCAAAACTAACTGATATAGAAGACGATCGTGCAAAGCATGATCTAGCAATATAAAAGGAAGAATAAGTCTGCATCAGAAATAATCAATTAATGAAGAGCAAAGTTGGAATATTTAAAATAAACTTCCGTTAGTAATGTGGCAACGAAAGGTCTTGACTAAGTTTATGAAGGGATTGTTGCTGGCGCGAATCCTTAAAGATGGAAAAGAGATCATTTATAAACAGAGTGAGGAATAAAGGAACTTGGATGACTGCTTTGAAGATTATCAGAAAAAAAAAAAAATAAACGGGTTTGAGAAACACTCCCTGATTTCAGTTTTCGAAAAAATAAAAGAAAATATATAAAAGGTCTTGCATTACTGAAGTCGGTGCAGCACGTTTAGCAAATTAATTATAGTTGACTGATGGATTGCCTAAAAGAACTAATAGCAGGAAATGAACCGGAATAATAGTGAACTCTTCTAATATAAAATATATTTCTATAATTAACTTTTACGAAGCTCAGTAAACTGTAGCTCTTATTTGCCAATCAACTGAGTCGACATCGATTGCAACAAGCTTCATCTTATGAACATTATCAAAATATATGGAATTTGAAGCAACATAATCATATATCTGGAGAAATCTCTGTGAGAGCAAAAATGAAAATTTTAGTAGTAGGTATAAAAAAAAATATCTCCAGGGAATTGTCTGCTAGTCTTTGTTGCTTCATTCAATTTATTTTAACAATACCAACATAAAAGTTTGCCAAAATGCATGACGATTGCAACCGATTTGAGATAACTTTAACAATTTCAAACATAACACTTTCTATGACAGCTATACTGTCGATCAATTATCCACAATCCAAGAACGTTTCCTTAAATTCTCAATTCCTATCTGCATGATATGCAAAATATTTACTTCGATGTTATCACTCATGGCTCTTATAATTTATTGGTGCTTTGGCGCCACCATATTCATCACAATTTTCGATGGCATTTGTGCTGGCCATTAAAAATTGAAAATCGCATTGGACATGCAGTGTAATTTGAAGCTGGAAAAGTGCAGATTAGAACAGACGACCAGACCCCAGACGCAAACATTTCAAATGCTATTAGTGTCAGATCGAGGGGGGAGTTTGCCGCAGACTTTGTGCAGTCATTATTCAATCAGATTTGACTTTTTGTCGTCGTCGGCGTCATTGTTGTTGTTGTTGTTGCCTCGTCTGACATTTTGTGGCGCCGCAAACAAACCCCCAAAGTCAGCTGGGCAGACAACGAAACAAAAAAGAAACCCCCAGAAGAAACGAAACCCCAACTCAATGACGCTCACCAACTGACTAACTGACTGACTAGCTGACTGACTGACTGTTTATTCAAGCGCACACTAAGTAGACTTGACGGCGTCGCGTCGCCTTCAGAGTCACCCCTGAAAAATTGTTGACAATTTTTTCATCTTAATGCATTTTTATGTCAGCTTCTTGCGGCTGCACTCGAATGCTTTCCTTCATTCGTTCACTTGCTCTACCACCCCCGCATTTTATCTGCCTGCCTTATTCCTTTTGTTTGTGTTGTTGTTTTGGTTTGTTTGCTCTGCATAAACAGGGTTACTCAGCAGCAGACTCATTCGCTCGCATTTACAGTTATTCACAAACTGTCCTCTCTCTGCTCGTCGCCGCCACTCTACTCATTCATTCATTGCATGCATTTTTAGCGTTGCCAACATCAAGTTGTTTGCTCTGCTGTGCTCTGCTCTGCTGTGCTCTGCTCTGCTCTGCCTTTGGCTGCTGTGTTGGTTGTCTCATTTGTTCGCCGCCGCTGTTGTTTTTGTCGCCTTCGCTGTCGTTGGCTTTGTTTTCATTATGAAATTTAAGCACAAAAACCCCGAGCCCAAGTCGCACAGACTGTTGCGCCTTTTGTGTGCTTTAAAGAAATGAGTGACTGACTGACTGCATGAGTGAGTGAGCGATTGGGTATGAGTGTGAGTGTGAGTGGGTGTGGGGTTGGGGGGTGGGGAGACTATGAGTGCAACGCCTGCTGTCTGACTGCGCTTTTTGTCTTCTGGTGTTTGGCATTTAATGGCATATTTTCCGGTTCCGAACCGCCCATGTCTGACAGTCAGGGAACAGAGAACAGAACCGAGACACATGCGGCGACTATGCAAGAATATCGCGCATCATTGCGGGCGGTTTTTCATTAAATTTAATGCATTCTGTTCCAATTGTGAACAGATTTTGCCAACGACTGCTTACTTAATGTTTAAATTACTCATTGTGGTGGCTTAGTACGAGTATACAAGTACATGCATAAATGTGACAAAGCATTTTAGCTAAGTGCTAGAAATATGAGCTAAAAGGTGTACTAACTAGGTAGATATAGCATGAACTGTGAAGCAGAAAATAAGTACAGCCACTAGCTGAAGATTTGATTTTTTGAAAGCCTAACTGAAATTTATTTACGAAACAACAACAATGTGGTCCACGGCACAAAATGATGTTTAAATTAAAGCGACCTTTAAAGTCAAATCTAATTCTGAAATTAATTAAAGTAAAAGATTTGAAGCCAAGGTAATATAGACATTCGCAATAGAGCTGCCCTGAAGAAATCCAAATCTTAGAATACAGATTTAAACCTACTACTAATAAGTATATTAACAAATTGGATAGAGAATGCCACTGATAAGAACAAGAACGAAAATATGGCTTTCTTATTGTTTGCACTTTCTTAAATTTTATTTATACATATAAATTTTTTTATATTTATTGATACTTTTTATAGCAAATGCCTGGGAAATTTTCTAACAAAACACAATTAAGTTATATTGCTGTGAGCTGTTTAATGTACATCCAAGTACATCCTAATTGTTGTTGTGTAGGTTGTGACGATTGGTTTAAAATTTGGAATCAAAAGTACTCAAAATATATATTTATTTATTTATAATTTCTTTTTAATCCAAAAATAATATTTAAATTAATGCTCAACTGTCGCTTAAATAAATCCCACAATGTGTTAAGTCCTCGCCTAAAAGCAGCCTCAATTTTATGACATTTGCCAGGCGTAAATATTTTTATTTATCCTTTTTTTTCAAATATATCTCACTTAATCAGGCACAAATCAAATGCAGCAATTTATGCATATTTTATTACAGAAAGCAATAAAAAAAATGGCTAGGCAGGTGTTGCATAAGTGTGGCACGAGGATGGTTTTTATGCTGATTTATAATGCAGCAACAGCAGTTAAAATCGCATCCTAAAAACCCGTTGACAATAAACAAGCGGCGACATGTGTAAAAATGTCAGTCAAATAAAAAAACCAACGAGAAAGAATCCTATTCTCAGAGGTAGAGTTAAAGAGGGGGACAGGGGGAGGAGGGCAGCTAAACTCATTGTCCTTCATCGTCCCTGCGTTTTATTGAAAATAAATATAAAAAAACTTTGTGACAGCCTACGGGAATTGGACAGTCAATAAAAAAATAATATTTTTGGATTTATTTAATGAAATGCGATAATAAAAGCAAACAACAACGAAATCGGCTATAAATTATGCACAAAGCTGTAAAAATCATAATAAAATAAATGCAAATTGTATATTAAATATATGTATATAAAAAAAAAGAAAAACTGGTGTGCTGAGATTTAAGCGCAGTGTTTTGTGTTTGTTTTTGCTTTTGTTTTCAGAAAAATGCCCGTGGGCTTTATTTGTTTAGGTCTTGGCGCCATTTCTGTTGACACATTTACATTTTTAATGCGCTGCCACGGATTTAAATAATTGCACATTGATTGTTTGTGTTTTTTCAACACAGATTTTTTCCAATTTATAATACTTTTTTTTCTTTTGTTTTCCAGAACTCACGACAGCGTTGCGAGATGTACGCGTCCGAGTTCCACACGCTGCACGAAAAGGGGAGAAGGCAATACTGAAGTGCTTCTACGATATTGAGGATGATAATCTGTATTCGGTGAAGTGGTACAAGGGTCGGCGCGAATTCTACAGATATACGCCCAAAGAGACTCCCCCAATGAAAGTGTTTCATTTCCCAGGCGTCAAAGTGCGGGTAGGTGCTGCAAATTGCATTTAAAAACTGATAGATAAACCAATAAGACTTAATACTGCATTGCTTTATTGCGAGCTGTGCGGGTTATTAAATAAAGAGAATTTATTTTCAAAATAAGGGTATTCTAGTAGACTAAGAAAAGAAGAACCATCCGGTTGGTTGTGACAAACAATCTGCTTGCCAGATGAGGAGAGATGTGTGAAATTTTTAGGAGCAAGATACCAGTTTGGAGGGAGCTGGCATCCTTCCTGACAAGAAAAGCATTGGAATGTCGTGAATTTACTTCCCTCAATTGAACATCCAAACTCCAAAAGTTAAAAAGATTGCAATTTCCTAGCTAGGCTTGGCACTCGTCCTTCTAAACACTTCTGCAGAAACTGCAGAGATGGAAAGGAGAATTAAAATGTTGAGAGATTTCTTCTATTGCTGCCAAACCTTTCGAGGGCAGACTCTTAAATAAAAGAGCTTATATGGAGCCTTTAACGCCTAACCCAACTGAACATGGAAACGGTTACACCATCTTTGGGAACCAAACGCAATATGCTCTTTGAAAAAAATAACTCTGAGCTTTAATCTCTAATATACTCAGGCCTGTCTATATATGTATGCAGCTAGCCGAAGGGCAAATAACATTCCCCCACCGGGTTAGAGGCGTTAATTAGATTTTATTGTCATTTGATTAGATATCTCCTTCTTAGGATTTTCTAGCTTATAAGATGCTCTTTATAATTTTTATATATTTGTTGTTGACATAAATAAATAAATCAAATAAAAATAAATAAAATCTGTCAGGAATTAATATCGTAGTTGTTCGAGCAGTTTTAAAATGAAAGAAAACTTGAATTAAAATATGAGCACAATTTTGATATTATAAATATTCGAATAATTATGCTGCTGACAAAGTAAAATTCTGTTTTTGGGTACGAAAAACATTTCCTCAATTTAATTTCATCTGAGTTTGAATTTATCGCTGGACAACTGAAGTTTCCAAAATCTGAAGATTTCTTCTATTATCGGAAAAAATGTGTCAGTTTTCTATGTCAGCAACATACTTTAACAGAGAAATGCTGAGTTAGAGTCTTAAGAGTGCGCCTTATAGCGCACTTGTAATGTAGTTGAAAAAAAAAAACATTAATAAATGGTTCAATACTAAGCATGTACAAAGTTTTAAGAAGTTGTACAAGTTTCGAAAAAGTAATATTGTTCGAAAAGTTTTCTCTTCTACGTTGAGTTGTTGACACGTTAAATCTTTATAGTACTAGCTGCTACCTTGTCATCTGTCACGAATTTTTCATCTGTTGTTTGCTGTTTCTTGCTCATGCAGTGTCGAGAAAAAATTTCACTTTCTGCCATATTTTCGCACACACAGCCACAAAAGGTCACAGCACATAATAGCACTTTATATAAATTGCACAAAAGCGCAATAAGAAAAAAAATTCGTTTGCCAAATTGTATAAGCTCAGAGCAAACAGTGTGTTTGCTGGAAAGGGGGGTCGACAACAAAATAGAAGTCTAGTTTGGAGAGCGCATATATGAGAGGGGGGAGTACAATGTGTCGGGAGCAAGCGTCGTTGCTTTTGAATACAAGCGCGAATTTCCCTACAAAAAAACACACACACAAACACACTATCGCACATGCCTTGCTGCATTTCAATGGCAACAATAAAGTAGTGTGGGGATTGGGGGGAACACTCCCCTTTGGCTTCAGGCACGTCATAGCTGAGTCCTAATTACAATTTCAAACCCCTTTCAGAATAAAAAGCACCCAAAAAATTTCAAAAAGCTTGCCATATTTCACATGAAAATGTGTTTTGAGCTGTCGCTGTTGCTGCCCCTGCTATTGCTGTTAGTATTTTTGTGGCATGTAGCACACACACACATAGACACACGTACATACATATGTAGGTTCACATTTGTGCGATTCGTGGCATGCACCTCTTTGGCACAGCACTGGGAGCATGTGATTTTTGTTACTTTAGCTTTGGATTTGCATGTTTTTATTGTTGTAAAATAATAATAATAGTGTGTAAGCAATTGTTGCTCTTACCCTGCTGTATTGCGGCTAGTCGGCTAGTAGTGCAGTGTTGTTTTCAAATTTAGCTGTCAGTTGCTCCGAGTGTCCTTTAAATGTGTGAAACGAAACCCCAGGCACTCACGCCAAATCACATTTGCAGTACCAGGAGTACTGTTTCAAGCACAGTTCTCGTCATTGTCGTTGTGTGTCAAGTGCTTTAAAATATTTAGTATTTATTTATGTATAAAGTAAATATATTTATATTTTAATTTATATTAGTTTGTCGGCATAGATTAAAAAGTAGAAACTTTATACAAAAGCCTTGTTAGCCCAAAAACCCAACTACGAAAAATCAAGTCAAATTAAAATAATTTCTAAAAAGCGCCTCTGACTTGACAGCAGAATTTCATTTGCCATTCAGCCAGTTAGTCAGAGGACAAAAAAAAAGAATTTGCGAGCCGGCGGGAGCAGATTTATTAGCCAGTCCGGTAAGCTATGCACGGACATGTGGAATCACAGATTCCAGAGATAGCTCAAGAAGGAGAAACTTTTAGGAAAGGCAGGGAGAGTTATTATTAAATATAAATAGAAACAGAAAAGGATTATTTTACGTCGCTACTGCCTTTACTGCTTATTTCTTTCATTTAAATAATGACCTAAGATGAGAAAAGTACCTATTAATCGATTAAAATTTTGGTTTCCAGTTCAATTCTGCCTTATTAACAAGTCGAGAGCATTAGTTCGTGTTTGTCTGCAAAGAACTGGGAAGAATAATCCCTGAGACAGGGTAAGAGTGCAGAGGAAATTCAATTTGTCAAGAAAACAACACCAAGGGTAGTTCTCCTGGAGATTAAATAAATATAAATCTACTTAAGTGTTAAACAAAGCTTGGGTTACCACTTTAAGCTTCGAAAAGCAAAAAGAAGGAAATATTTCGATGACGTCTTTATTCGATTCTGATGCGATTTATATCGAATATGTCCTTAAATACTCTAGAATAGGCCGTAGAGAGAACTCCACCTGTAGCTTAATAGTCATTGAATTTTTTGGACCAACTGTTAATGAACCTAAGGCTTTAGCCTTGTTTACTAAGATTTTGAAATCAGAAAGTGCTACAAAATTTTTCATCTGTAAATGATCGACTGACCGATGCAAGGTTTATTTTTTTTTGTATCAGCAGAGTGTTTTTATTTAAAACCGTCCATCGTGGACAATCATTAAATATGTTAAATAAACTTAACGATTATTTATTTCATTTTCGATCGCAAAAGATGCTCACGTCTGGGTTTAACTTTCGTTGTACTTTTTAAGTATTTCATTTATTTGCTGGTAGCCCTCAATTAAATTAACACACATCATTGGTCTTTAGTAAATAATAATTATTTATAATGATTGTTAATCACAGATCATTTTGTATTTATAACGCCTTCTTATTTATATTGATTACCTACAACTAATTATTTCAGTCTTAGTATTTATTGTTTGAATAAATTAAGAAAGCTATGGCATGTAATAATCGATTCCAAGACTGAAGGAAAGCATCACTTCTTCAATCGATTATCTACAGACACTAGCTATCGAATAAGTTTGTTATAGCTCAGCAAGTTTTGCGAATAATAATAATTTGTCGAAGCTTTACATATTTCTATTTCATAGATATGTTCGCGTTTATATCTAGTTTCAATTTGATCGTTTTATTCATAAATATAATAGGTTGTAGTAATTTTTTTGTAGTTTTAAAGAAGTTGATAAATAAACTTAATGCACCTACGATTATAACGTGGAGAATATATGCCTCCTTTTGTGCATCAAACGGTTGCAATATTTTATTTACATGGAAAAACTGGAAACACTACTATAAGAAACACTATTAATCTATAGACAAAGGCAATCAGACAATGCTCGACACATTGGTAGGAAACTTTTTCTGTAGTAAAACAAATACATCTTTCTTTCCATGCCAATATTTCGCTCACAGCCAAAAATATGTTGTGAGCAGAAACAATTTCCCTGTTATCGTTCTACCTGAAACTGGTATATAGAAGCCTATTCGGAATTCATTAAGAATATTTCTCTACTCTCCACAACCCTTAATGTATGTACACAAAAAAACTGAACTCTTTTAGACACAAATAAAATGTTCTAGTATATATGTATATATAACTGTATGCCAAAACTAAAAATGCATAAAACTTTATTCGTTTGGAATTTGAAAACAAACATTTTTATATTTGCATTTGTGTATACATTTTATATATTTCCTCGTTCCGTTATTTTGAAATATTTTTGTTGCTATTGTCACATACGCAACATTTCCAAATGGCTGCAAAACAAATAAAATGCCAACCGTATTTCTTTATATGCTCGAATAATTTCAAAAAATAGTGAAACGAGTTAAAAATGCCAATATTTATTGAAAAATATTGCCACCCACTGCTAAGCCCAGCCATTGGCACACAAAAACAAAATAAGACAAAACAAAAGAAACGGTTGTTAGAACACAAAAAAGGAAACTAAAAAATGTGATGTGTTTTTTCCGGCGCGTAACAGCCATCAAGCGGAAGTTAAAAACCGTGTTTTGATTTGATTGCGCATTGAAATGCTGTGTTGATTCTAGACCAAAAGCTGGTCCCCTATTCCTGCCCTTTCCCTACCCGCAACCAACAGATCGAAGTTCTGAGGTTTAGTGAAGCATTTCGATGGAAAATACCAAACAACATGCACCAATTGTTCAACAAAGTTTCATTTATTTTACCTTCAATTGGCTTGTTTGAAAGGGCAACAAAGAATTGCATAGTTACCTTGTATTTTAATGTTCATTTGAAGATTTATAAGTGAAAGGGTCGGCTAAAATAATGTGTATTATATTTGAAAGGGGGAGTCAAATCGCGATTCGTGCCTCTGTACATTTGTGTGTTTGAAAAAAAAGTATTTAAGCATGAAAAATATTACCACTTCCAGTTAGAATTTCTACTTATTCTTTTCTCTGCATTGCTATAATATTTCTATTTTTTTTTTAAATGTGTCTGAAGAGGGTTTCTTGAACATAATTTTAACGATATCGCTTTATTTTGCTGTTGCCAGCGAAGGATCTAACTTCCGCATTTTTACAAATGTTCTGAAAACGTTCATACTTTAGTGTTTTTAGACAAATACTTAACACGAAGGGCTGTCAAGCTTCAAACGGTTTATTTACCCCATTGGTAGCCATGTTTCAAAAAATAATCGCAATTTATACGATATTCCGATTAAATATATACACGCGTTTCTAACAATCATTCAATGCCTATTGATATAATCTTAAACGATAACTGGGAAATACTAAGGGTTATTAAAATTTCAGATAGCCTTAGTTAATCTAAACTATAGTCTTTTGACCTTAAGCCTAACCTAATGATTTAAAGATATTAACTAATGTATGCATATATAGTATATTAATTGAGCTATAATGGAACTATAATTCATGTATTAAAATTGACATTTTAAGAAAGTATTTTAAAGTTGTCCTTTGAGGGAGAGGTGAGAGAGGTGAATGGATAGAGAGTTAGGAAATATGGAGTTAGAAAATGTGCTTTACAGAAAAGGGAATATTGCTGTTGCAGAATTCGCGGATAATTGTTATTGGGGACGATGAGGTGCTTGTGGACATATGAGATATAATATCCTCGAACCTTGGAAATTCTTATAAATGAAGGGAACACAGAAACAGGGCATATCAGTATCCGTAGCTGCTTTGCAAAGTAAAGAGTCTCTAGTCGATGGAATGAAGAATAATGAATGTTAGAAAAGACAAATTAAATCCTCAACTTCGGGATAAGGGACTGGCTCTGAAGTTTACGATAATCGGGCTTCAATATCATGGCTTATGTGCCTAAGCAAGTTTTTGAAAATTACAGAGGAGGAGGAGAGGAGTCGGCAATATACTTCGATTTATAAATACATATATGTATATGCATTAAAAATTGAGTCTGTTGTATGAATAATAATGTCAGAGCTATGGTATGGATTTTCGAGGCAATTACAGGGTATTTAACAGCCTGTTTCAATTCATATTTACGCTCTTAATGCTGCAATAATAAGAGTTAAGTAACAACAGTTACGAGTACTTGATAGCTTTTGCAAATAATGACATATTTTCCATTTTGAAGGTCCAACAGTTGCCTTTTAAATCACGCATACGCCATAGTGCTTACATTTGGCAGCAAAGCCAACAAAAGCAACAAAAAAAAAAAAATATATATATAACCAGACGCCTTATAAATAAAAATTAAAAAGCTATTTGGCAAGCATATGAAATGCGCTTTGTATTATTTAAGGCTGCGACGATTTTCAAAATATATTTGGCCATATGCTGGACCAAAATACACTATTCACACACATATATATATATAGATATATATACACACCAGCATATTGAGGCCCATAAACGAGGCTTATGAAATATGCGAAATGGCCAACGAGTTGCGCACTTGGCCAACAACAAAATGATGAAATTCCAGACTGAACTGTAACCCGCCCCCTCGGCCACATGCTATAAAGTTGACCAATTTATATAGGAGTATGTATGCATGCATGTATGTATGTATGTGTGTTGCCATGTCCAGCGTCGAGCGCTTGTTCAATTATTTAATACAAGCCGCAAGCGTAGCTCGAGAACGTTGAACCATGCATCAGATAGAGGAGCCAGCAAACAATATCTACATGCACGCATACAAATAAATTTGTCTGGTTGTGCTTTTGTTCGGCAATTTTTCATGCTATATAGTAGACCTATAGTATGCATACTCGTATATTTTAAAATAAATAAAAAATGAAAGGAATTATTTTATTTATATGCTTGCCATTTCCCGTACTCACCTTTTGTACCTTCATTTTTTTTCTGACTCTTTTTCTTGTGTGTGTGTTTTTTTTTTCAGCGCATCGCTTCAAACGAGAGCCAAGTTGTGCTCGACGCTGTACAAATGCAAACATCCGGTAAATACAGTTGCGAAGTATCGGCGGATGCGCCCTCATTTCATACATTAATAGCGGCAGCCGAATTGGAAGTTATCGGTGAGTAATACAGGCCCCAGAAATTAACTTGGCTGCCATTTAACTTTAAGTCTTAGTTCAATTCATTTGTGTTAAGGAAGAGATTATACAATTTCGTTTCATTATAGCAAGTATTGAATAATACGAATAATCCGCTAGAATTTGTGAACAGTATTCGTTTTTCCCAATAAATATACAAATAGTACAACCACAATAAGTATTGAGATATACAAAGCTACTTGAAAATGTTTAGTGCTATTCAATTGCTATGAAATCGTACACTCTAGCCAAGCTTATTATCTGCTTCTTATTATCCCAAACGCAAGTATTTAGATACGGTCTACTACAATATATTCTGACTAAAGCTTAGTACGCACAGAATAGTTAAAAGAGTGCATTCTTCTCCAATCTCAAGTATGTAAACATTTAAAAAGATTTCAAAGAGTGACAAATTTATTTGGATAAAAGAGTTTTCAACCAAGGTAGGTAGATGGAGAAGTCATCATTTAAACCATTGTGCTGGACTGTTCCCTCTTTTGCTGTCTCTAGTATTCTGCGTTTCTACGCATACACTCAAAAAAAAGTTCCATAGCATAAATGAATATTTTCGTATTCAATTTAATGTTCTACTATTTCATATTCAAATCAAATATAAACAACGCAAATTTAACTAAAAACATACTCATTTACTGATTTAAATATGAATAATATTCAAAACAAAGTGCAAATCTTTGTTATTAAAGTGTGTTATGCTCAACATTAAAGGAACATATTTAATTTTAATATGCGCCCCCTTTATGTAACAGATAGAGAAATTTGCTATATTCCATATTAAATTTAAATATTTTTCGCAACTTTAATTTGAAGCTTCTTGTGCTCGATTTATATATACTGGAAATATATTAAATTCGAATATTTTTTTATAGTTAAATCGAATTTTATTTAAATGTAAAAAAGCGACAAACATTGACTATAATTCACAAGACGGTTGTAATAAAAGCAAAGTGTAACTTATTAACATACTTGTATATGGTCGTCAATCAGCTATTCCTCACTTTTAATTAATATCAGTTTTGAACTAACATTTAGAACGTCAATATTTATAATAACAAAAAGTTTCTTAAATTACTTTCTAATAAAAATGGTGCTATAAAATAAAGAAACATATATAAATGCGTACTTATTTACAAAATAATATTAAAAACAAGTAATTCTGTTAGCAGTTTAGACAAAAAAGTGGGAATAATATTTTATAATTACAAAAAAGAAACCTCTAGCGTAAATCAAACCCACGGCCACATCATCACTTGAAATTTAATATTATCAGACTTTAAATGTAATCTTTCAGTATTAATCTTGAAATTGAAGTGCTTACACTTTATATCTATTAAAACACACTGTGGTAAAAAATCAATGGTAAAAATATTTAAATCTACGTGTAGATATTTTAATTTACGTGGGTTTTTTTTTGTCAGTGTACTAGAGATCCATTCAGGAGCCTGGAAGAATTTGTAAATATTCTTCGGTTAATGCTGAAAACTAGAAAGAAGTTGCATCCCAAAAACCGCTGTCTGGTTTTAAGTAGAACCGGACAGTTACTAAGTTATCCCGGCACTATTTATCATTAGTATAGTGTTGCCTTTCTTAAGCGTAAGCCGAGGCACAGTAGTACCTTGTATTGTCAGCTCATCAGCTAAACAATTACCCTCTGTGTTCCTGGGATCCAAATAAGGTAGACGGCCATGAATCGAATACTTTATTTTGGTTTTTTTTTTCAGGGGTTATTCTTTTCTATATTAATTTTGGTGTAATTATTAGTTTGGTGATTTTTAAAAGGCATAGAAAAAGCTTTAAATATCGACTGCTTCTTTTGAGCTCTTTTATGTGGCTTCTTCAGATACGTCTGTTGACTTTAATTCAAAAACCATCAGAGCGGTTGCTCAGTGCTCCAAACTATGTATCTATTTCTGCTGCCAGTGCAGCCTTTCTTTACAAATTTAAGGTCATTTAGCTTTTAGTTAACTAGCATTTCAATTTACATGGAACTGCACATAATACTTGAATGGTTGACTACGTACCCAAAAGCTAAGCACTGGCATTACATTGAAATATTGTTGATATCTGTTCGGGGGAAATGCACAGAAGAAACTCAAAGCATGCTTGTGCGTCTATAGATTCAGCTTTGGTGCAGTGCATTGGCATTGCGGAACACAAACATATCGGATCTGGAAAAACACAAACAAACTTAAAACACACAGCCTCTGACCGAAGTTGTTCGTGGCAGGCAGGCAGGCAGGCAGACAAACAGACCTTCTCTTACAGAGTTTTGGACTAAATGACAGCCAATTTGAGTTTCACACAAGCACAACCATAAACAGCCCGCCCCGTACCCGTACATCCCATTCGAATATTCACAGATATGGGAGTACATGCCTTCCCCCACTTACACACAACTTTTCCCACACTCGACCGTTTATTGACCATCTGAAGCTGGAAACGTTGCCCATAAGTTTCGCATGGTTTTTATTTCTACTTAAATATCTTCATCTGCTCAGTTTACCCGCAAATTTGTTTGTATTTTGTCCGCATGCGACCAACTTCAAGTTTATTTTGAAGTTCAGTCTGTATCTGTGTGTTTGTCTCTGCGTCCAATTTCTTGGCCAGCACGTCGGGCGCCATGTCATGTCTAGTCTGGATGGACACTGGCAGCAGCTTTTGACTCTTGACAGGCATTGGCCCGAGCAATTGAACTTCAGCTTCCTGTTTGCTTATCGCACGCACATGATATGACAAAATTAGACAGTTTCGTGTCCTTACTTTTTGACGATGCTGCATTTGACATTCTGGCTGTAGTCGACTGAGCTTAAATATATAATGGGTTTACAGGATAGATATGCGCTTAAATTATTACAACTATCGTAAACAGACCTATTTGTTATGAAGTTACATAAGCTTTTATGATTAGTTATCGAAAATTATTGCAAAATAAAATGAATAAATAGCTTCCTTCGAAAAATAACAAAGAAATAAATAAAGTGGTTTTCTTCTACTTACTATTCAAGCCAATAAAATGGCGGTATTTAGAACAGCTATAAAAACATTTCATTTATAAATGGAGCAGTGATTCAACCAGTCAGACATTGCGATTAACTAATGGTCTTACACATTATTAGATATTATTATTAGATATATTAGAATAAGAAAAAAAAAACAGTTATGCCTTTTCTTTGAAGAATAGAAAGCTTACATTTTAATTAATAAAAGCTAAATTGATAATAAATCAATTTTTTACTTATTCGTGCTGCAGTTACTGCATCTATAGCTGTTAGATATCTAATATAAAAAAGCTCCCCAGCATGGAAGATACTGCTAAGTAGTAATTACATAGTAGAAGAACTTAGCCAAACTTCTGGGCAGTTTTGAAAGAAACAGTCTTAGAACTTAAGGTAAGGAACGAAAGGTAATTGTGTCGATATGTAGAAGCGCAGCTAGATTTCCACGAAAAGCTTAAGCTCACATTCTCTGAACTTTTTTTCCTCATGCATATATCGTGCTGCTAGATTTTAAGCTAAGGGAGTCAGAAATACTTGACTACATTCCAACTTTCAATTATCAACTTGTTTAAGTAACAGATTTTAAGTAAAAAATTGAAACTTTCGCGACCAAAATAGAAAGCTTAAAAGCAAAAAAACAAATACAAGACGCTCTCTCCTCACTACCATTTCGCATGTCCGTAAAGCAATCATTTATTTTACGTATAATTATCTTCTTTTAATAAAAAAAAGAACGCCTTTAAGCTTCAACAAAAATCCATTAAACGTAGCTTTATGCGCGAATTAAAATTTATGTCTGCGCTTGCGAACCTCTGCAATATTATTGACCATATAAATGCATTTTCAATATAAATATCAGCCATAACTATGCCGCCATATTTATAATAAATAAATCTGTTTCATTCAGCGCTGGCGAACGTTAAAAAGTTGTATCGTTTGCATGCAAATAGGGGTATCACAAAAAAGTCGCCAAATGGCTGCTCAGCTCCAGATATAAGAAATATTTGCTACAGTGCATCGCGCACAAACAAAGGATATACTATATCCGTATTGCATATTTTAAGCATTATTTTTTTTTACAGGCCATAAACAATAAAATAAAGAGAGGAAAAATTGTATTTGTTGCCAAAAGAAGTGGTTAAAAAATTTCATCAAGGTGCATTAAAAAGAATTTAATGAGTTGAACTTTTTTCGGAAAACTTGAAATTATTTAATACTCTTTAATACTGCAAGTACAGCGAAAATAAATAAATAATTAAATAAATAAAAGTAATAATAAATAAATATATATATAAAGAAATAAATACATTAATTAATTAATTTATAAATATTTAAAATTGCTGAGATAGGTGTTAGGTTAATCACGAAATGATGAACTGCTTTTCGAAAAAAATTCAAGGAATCGCATCTATAATTATTTACTTGTAATGTATAAAAAATGCTGCTTTTATTTGTTGAAAAAAGACACGGTTCTTAAAAAGCATTAATAAACTACCGTTTATTATTTCAAAGTAACTGTTATTAGTTTGCTTAACTATGCAATGAATGGGCAAGTTAAAAAAAGTTAACAACATTTCATTACTTATCGAATAAAAACACATTTAATCACAGAACACACCAATTTGAGAATCGTTTTTTGTTTTCTGTTTATCCTTAACAGCCACATAAAATGCACACACACACACACACACACACCCTCATTCACACACACACATACACAACGCACTCAACAATGCAACACGAAAAACAATCTGAAAAACATTTCAATTATGGAGGCGTCGATCACTCTACGCATTCGACAGCATGTGTGTGTGTGTGTGGGTGTGGGTGTGAGTATGAGTGTGTAAGTGTGTTTGTGTCACATGCCATTACATAAAACTGCAGAGCCCGCGACGCCCTCACAATCGATGCAGTTCCCAGTCGCCCCACGCGGCGCGAAAGTGTATCAAAAATGTAGTTGACAAATGCAGGCGGTCCCATTGAGAAGGAGCGCCTGTAAAATGCTAGACTGTAGCTCCCTAGCACTCCTTTCTACCCGTTTCCCCATAAAATTTAAAACCAGGGCTGGCAAACAGTTAGGCGCCAAGTCAGTCATTGTTGTAGAAAAATGTCCATTATTCTCAAGAGATAGAGGAGAAGTTTCCTTTTGCGAAAAACAAATTTTAATGTTGCATAGCTAGGATCTTTCTATTGGATAGAGGATAAGACAATATGGGAATACGATTACAAAAAATCAAATCCCAACAAAATGAACTGATGGACCAAGAACTACTACTACTAACTATCCTTCGAAATAACTTATAATAACAAATACTTTCTATTAATTGAACCCATAATGCTATTTTATTAAAGACATATTCTGGTAGTAAAAATAAAAAATCTGTCGCATAAGACAAAACAACTAAATAATGTTATAAGTATACTTGTATAATTTCTTTGGTTCGTTTTCCATGTTGGCTCTTATACTAATATAGGTATTATCAAAAGATATACAAAGCTATTACAAGCTATTAATGTCTGGCAGAAGATGCAGATGAAAACATCAACAATTATTTGTTCATTGAATATGTCTTTTTGAAGGCAGATATATTTAAAAAAAAATTTAAAAACAAAAACAATAAATGTGAGATGATCTAAAAAATGTATATAAACGAAATTTGCAGATTTGCATTAGCAAATTCCATTTCATAATTCAATATTAGCACTAATATTGAATAATTCAAACATCATTGGAAGAAATATTGGAAATAATTGTAAACACTTTTCAAACTATAATTACAATTCTGAAATTTTCAAATTTTATTCTAGACAATAATTTTTACTTCTGAAATGCTTACAGCTAATGTTTTTTTGCGAAATACTTCAAGGTTTTAAATGCTATAAAAACAGATCCACCGATGACACAGAATAAAGACAAAATATCTGGAGCAGACCACAACTCATGCAGCACCCTTTCCCATTTCAAACCGTGGCACAGCTCTCTGACTAACGTCTGGTCCAGGTTTCTATCTATAGAGTTATTCGCTTCAATATAATTCTCAGCTTCGACTGCGTCACTCTGCAAGTGTGGTTCTTTGTTCTCGACTTCGGGAACCCTTACAGAAGCATTAAGTTCTAGGCCCTCCTCCTGCTCTGCAATAATTTTGTGTTCGGTATTGGCGTACGGGTTCGACAACTGAACCCCCTTGTTGTGGGGTACAAAGCTAGGGGCATTGGAATTGAGCTTCGATGACGGTGGATCTGGTGTGGTTCCATATAAGGGGGGATGGCGACGCAGCTGGGGTAAAGGCAGCAAACACTTCATATTCTTCAGTAGCTTCAGGGCCGAGGAAAACATTTAAAGAGAACGAACTGTTAGTTCTACAGTCGCACCAGACAAGAATTTTCTTCAAGAGTTAGATAAACTAAAAAAGAAACGTGCAGCGAAAGCGCTATAAAAAGAAAGCGGATCGACCTAGCAAACAATATGGTGGCCTCGCATAGCAGCTCTATCGAGCCTTAAACTTACGCCGAACAATTCTGCCACGCTTGCTGGCTCGTATCGGAAAAGCATTCGCTCTATTGTCTGCACAGACACCCGATGTATATTCATCTGCGCCAGTTTGTCCGCCGATCTGCACCAACTGGTTTCCGGTTCCAGCAGCTCCACAATATAGCCATAATCGACTGCTATCTGCACGTAGGGCAGCATCTCCCAGATCATAATATTCGTGTTGTCCACAATGATGGGACTCCAGCAATCAGTGGCTTTCTGAATAACTCGCTGTCGATTCCACTCATGCGCAGCGGGCAGTTTTGTGCTATCGAATCGATAGCCGTCGGGTGTGTTGAAGAAATCGTCGGTGCTGCACACGAAATCGCTGCATTCGTGGTTTTCCAGGAGCTGCGCCTCTCTGAGCAGCAGGGCTGCCAGTGTGGACTTTCCGCTGCCTGGTGGGCCACGCATAATTATCATAATGCAATATCCTGCCCCGATTATGCCACAGATCCTGTCGAGGTGTGCATTGCCTATAGAGTCCTGAGTTTCCACAATTGTCTGATCGCTTGTTGTGGACATTTTTTGTAATCGATAAAACAAGCTTGAAGTATATATCGGAAGGTTCTCATTCCGAGTAGTTGCACATTTGAAGTTTAAATAACTGATGGTTGGATTTTTAAAATTTTAATATTTAATACGCTTTTTTATTTGTTTGTTTTATTTTTGCTTGATTGTTGACCGAACATTGTTATTATATGGGAAGTATTTCAAATGTGACAAATAATATTCGTCACAACTTAAATAGCGTGAACAAAAAAATTACAAGCTATTTGTTTTAAAGTTAACTCAGCAACGAACTTTTTTCTAGATTTTAAAGATTCAGCTGCTCTTATACCCTATCGGATAATTAGGGGATTTTTTTATTTAAAGATGCAAAAAAAAAATGTTAGAACAAGAATGTGAAAAGAGAATTTTATACTCCTGTTCGATTATTGTTAGACCTTCTTAACTGATGAGTTAATATTATAATATTTTTTTCATTATTTTAATATTTATTTTCTTGTCAGATGTCCGCTTTAATAAACAGACCTACTAGGTATTGAGCGAGCCAGCAGCGGAAAATAGATTCGTCATGGGATTAAAATTTAAAATATTCATCAAGAACGTATATCAACTAGAATAGAAAAACTCAAAACTGAAAAAATCTAATAAAAAATAAGGGAAAATGAAAAGCTACGGCTGCAGGCTATTTACTAAGTACAAAAAGCATTTATAATATAAACAAAAATAATTAAACCAGATTAAATATGACAAAATATAGACACAAGTAACTTGAAAAAATTGCTGATTAAAATTTTTCTTCACATATACACATAATTCTGGTTTTATGTAGACGGTCGCTTTTTACACGATTTTGATATAACCAAGTTTGAAAATTAAAAATTTCATATATTTGCGGAACCAATCACCTATTTTTACATATAATCCATGGGTTTTTTACACGGTTGTTTCTGGAACCAATCTACCGTGTAAAAACAGAATTAGGTGTACTACTTCTAGGTAGATTTCCAATTATTTATTACTTGAAAATTTCTATACAATTTTGGTTATGTCTAATGAAGTCTCTGACTACTCTGTGCTATGAATCGGGGCATAGCTGGTGGAATTCGATTTGGATTCATTATTAGAAATTATTCTTATTTTTAGAGGCTTTTTGTTTCATCAATTTTATTTGCTTTAAGTTCTCTATTGCATTTACTTTTCTACATCGACAGCTTTGTTGTGGATATAATAAATATAAATTAAAAAATACAATAATATATGAAACTAAACTCATTCTTAATGAAACGAACAAGTTCTAATCTGCATCGAAGTCGCTGTTATTCCCAGCCCTGCTTTTTAATATTCGCTCCCTTTCTCATCCACACTGTGTTTTTTCTCCTTTTTACAGATCCGCCACACACTCCTCCATACATAACAGGCATAAGGCAGCGATATCGCATTGGGGACATATTGCGCGGCAATTGTACATCGCGCCATTCCCGACCCGCCGCGAATCTCACATGGACGGTGAATAATGAAGAGGTGAGTGTGCGAGTGTGCGAGTGTATTTGTATTCCCGAAAATAATGCAAACGCAATTTTCTTGTTTTTAAACGGCGGCATTGGTTGTGTGTGTTGTTGTTGTTGTCTGCATTGAATTTATGCACGCACTTGAAAGCTACGCTGTAATTGCCAACGAACATGTGAGAGATCAGCCAATGTCCATTCACGCCCCTTCGGCCGCCCACATGCAACGTTCATTGAATAATTTTACGCAGCTCTGTGCAGCTATCTTTTTTTTTTTTTTTTTTTTTTTTTTTTTTTTTTTACATATATACAATTTATTAAACTAGTTTTCTACTACCAATATGGCAGCTTAAGCTAGTTGAAAGTTAGGGAATACAAAAGTTGTCTATAGTAAGCATCTATAGGACGCACTTATATCTATGTACATATATACAATATTTACAATGTTTTACATTAGAAATGAAATTATATTTTATGATATATATTATATATTTTATACAAGGGATCTTGTGGGGAGATCCTTTGGATGGCACTTCTTCAATCTTCTCTTCTTAGGTTTGGACAGGAGCCGCCTCGCTAGTGCGTTGGGGTGACTGCCGAGTCGCTTCTCGTAATTGCTTGCGTGCATTTGAATGACATCGCCAACCTTGGGGACACATAAGTCTCTTTCGATGTCCCTAGTGCGCATATACCAGGGAGCGTTGCATATTTTTCTGAGTATTTTAGCTTGCGCAACTCTTATTTTATGTAGGTTCGATGCAGCGGCAATGCCATAAATTGGTAGCGCATACTTCCATATTGGACTTAATATGGACTTGTATACTGTCACCTTACTGTGCAGAGACAGCTTGTTGCAGGGTGCAAGCAGCCATGCCATCTTTCCGGCTTTTGCCATGACCGATCGCTTGACCATTGTTGTATGCTTGCTGAAGTTGAGTCTTCTGTCCAGAATTACACCAAGATATTTGTGCGAATTTGTATGACTGAGCGTGGACCCCAACATTGTGATATCTCCGCATGACGACGGCCTTGTTGTAAATGTGACATTCGCACACTTGCTGGCGTTGATACCAATGTTCCAATTCAGAGCCCACTTCTCGAAACTACTTACATACTGCTGTAAGGCTTCCGAAGCTACATCGATATCTCTGCATCTGGTAAGCACCGCAGTGTCGTCTGCGTAAGTAGCTATTAGTGCGTCATTCTCGTCTACTCCAAGGATCTCTTGCGGTGCAGGCATATCAGCAGTAAATAATGTATACAGGGTAGGACCGAGAACACTGCCTTGGGGCACTCCTGCACAAATTGAGCGCCTCGTGGATTTCACTCCATCAACAGCAACTCTGAAGCTTCTGTCCCTTAGAAAGCTTTCGATGAGTTGAAACAATTGAGGAGTTAGTATGCCTTTCAATTTGCAGAGGAGACCATCATGCCACACTCTATCAAAAGCTTGTTTAATATCCATAAACACAGCCACTGAGTACATCTTTTGCTCCATGGCTTCCAGGGCGAAGTTGACCACACGGTGGAGCTGTTCCGGTGTTCCGTGACTTCTTCGAAATCCAAATTGCCATTTTGGAATTCTGCGCGTCACGGCTTCGAGCTGGAGAATCCGGTCCAGAATCACGCGTTCCATCATCTTCCCGAGGGCAGGTAGCAGACTAATCGGCCTATATCCATCTACTTCAGTATGCTGTTTCTCTGGCTTTGGAATCATCGTAATTAGCGCCATTTTCCAGCAGTTTGGAAAGTGCCTCAGCCTGAGTATGTTATTCATGAGCAAAACAATATACAGCAGAGCCCTTGTGGGGAGCAGTTTCAGCGTCCTGTTGTCTAAAAGGTCTTCTCCAGGCGCTTTTTTGACCTTTAGATTTTTTATCTGCTGTACCACTTCTTGCAGTGTAACTGGGCTTGCAGGCAAGGCCATTTGGAATGGCATCTCCAGCCTAAGCTCGACTACCCTTCGCCTATCTGCTGTTGTAAAGTCAAAAGGCTTAAATCTTTCCTCTAGGCTGTTTGCAAAGATTTCAGCTTTCTGCTGACTGGAATAGCTCCATCCACCTGAAGGATCCTTAATTGGAGTCTTAGGGATGATCAGCCTCTTGAATCGCCTCGTAAGCTTCCAGAGCGAGTAATTAAATGATGCATCTGGACCAGCACTTTCCAATATGTCATCAATTCTGCCTTGTCTGATTTTAGCAAGCTCTTTTTGCAGTCGATTGGACAGTCTTTTGTAGATTTGATGAATGCGAGTATCTCCAGTTCTTGCATATTCTTTCCTGACTCTTCTTTTCAGGCTTAAGAGCGCAGCAGCCGTTGGTGGTAGACTAGCTTGACTATGTTGGGTTGGCAAGCGTAAAGTTTTCGGTGCAGCAGAAGACGCAGCCAGTGAAATGTTCTTCATGAGGATTGATATCGCGTCTTCGATATCCTCTGGGCTGTTAATTTCGACGTTCAGGTTAATTCTTCTTTCGAGATCGGCTTTAAAAACATCAATACGGGAGCCAGGTGGTAGAATATATTCCCTCTTGGGATTATATTGCGGTGCATGATGTAGCGTCGCTACTACTGGAAGGTGGTCCGATGCGAGCTCATATTTTGTTTCAACGGTGAGTCTGTTTAGGGCAATCCTGTTGACAATAAAGAAGTCTAGTGCAGAGGGGTTAAGCCGTGTGTTGTAAGAGTAGAAAGTTGGCTCTCCAGTAGCAAGAACTTGGCAAGTAGTACTAGCTATGGCCTCTTGCAAACACCTTCCTCGCCTGCAAGATCTGGAATTACCCCACCATTGGTGTTTTGCATTAAAATCACCGCCTACAATAAACTTATCTCCTAAGGTTGCAAGCAATAGATCAAAGTCGGCCCTGCACCAAGCTTCATTGGGAGGAAGATATAGGGAGGAGACTTTGATGCTTCCACCATTCGTCGGTATAGTTACGCTGGCCGCTTGGACGCTTGTTTTTAGAATTGGCTCATTCTGTGAATGAGCGATACTTGATCTAATGATGACTGCAGAACCACTTTTAGCGGTGCCACTGGGATGATTAGCGTAGTACTGGTCGTATCCTGGCAAATATGCGTTCAAGCCAGGACGCATATGCGTTTCGGTTATTAACATGATATCGATCAAGTTTGAACTTAGGAAAAGCCTGAGTTCATCATTGTTTTTGACCAGGCCCCGTGCGTTCCATAATCCGATTTTTAACAGCGGATTTAACATTTGGATATTAGTTTTTGTACCAAGTCACGGAAGGCTCTATTGGAATCCATATTTTCCTGAATGAGCTTATACATTTGATCCATTCTTGCGTTTAGATCAAAAATCGCCTTTTCCAGCATACTAAATTTATTGTTTAGATGCCAATCTTCAGCGGAAATGTGTGCCCGGGGCGAGTTTTGGTTTGTTGGCGCGATGGTACGCTTTCCTTCAATTGGCCTTGCTGCATCAGCGTAAGAGAAGCCACTCTTAACAGCAGAGCTTGAGATGAACTGTACTTTATTGCCTTGGTTGTTTGGGTAACTCCTATTGCTACCGATGACTAGACCATCTCTCGGCAACCTCACAGCTGGCTTAAGTTTTTTGGCTAGATCAATTCTTACCTTGCAGCCTCTGAAGCTCGACATGTGGTCTTCGCCGCAATTAGCGCATATAAATTCCCCATTATCATTCAGGTTACATGATTTTGAGCCAGTATCATGGTCCCCCGAGCATTTACCGCAAACCGGCTTTTTAAGGCAATAGTTCCTCGTGTGCCCGAAATCTTGGCATCTGAAGCATTGTACCAGCTCTTTACTCTGTTTGGCCTTTGATATTGTAACCCTGTGTCTACCAATTTGAGTTATTTTTAGTGCCTCAGCAACGTTGGGTGCGTTCTGGAGGTTAACGTAAAACATATTTTGTCTTGTTTTGACATTATTTATGTCCTCACCATCCTCCTCATTAATTTGAATGTTACGCCAGTCCGGTTTTCTGGGGCAATATATATTCAAAACTGTAAAGCCCTTGTCGGTAAAGGTGCGCTCTATTAATTGCCTGGGTACATTGGGATGAATATCTCTGAGCACCAATCTGCAGGGTTTGTTCTCCTTCAACTGGTGGTGCCAGAATTGACAATTTTGATTGGACAATAATTTGATTATTGCACGAAACGCATTCGAATTCTTCGTATAAATACGCGAGATCCCAGATTTCGATGTGCGTATGTCGTAATCGTCAGGGGAGACAGCAGAATTGAGCGCCACCTCCAGCTTATCCAATTTGTTAACTTGTGGCACACATATAGCAGGAGGCTTAGGAATACTACTTCCCTGGCTGGCTTCATTTTGCTGGCTCGATGGATCTTCGGAATCTGGCTCTTCCATTTCCATAATGGAATCAGCTTCTTCCGAAAGGGCTGCAAATCTATTATTTTGAAGCGCTGCCGGAGAGGAGGACGCAGTTCGTTGTCCCTGGGTTGTATTGACAGGAGTTGGCTTATTTTTTTGAGCCGATTTTAGTGACTCGACGGCTCCTTTCCGCTTCCTATTAATACCGGGTACTGACATTTGAAACGAGCAAAATTTGTCCAGAGTTGGATTTGCAACTAAGTTTGTGATTGAAGCCGGTGTACTCACAACGGCGGGTGTGGAGCACAAACTGCCATTTGATGTCGCTACTGTAGTATACATTGATTGAGAGTTCACCACAGAGAACGTTAGGGTACTTGTAGTCGATGTACAAGTGGTTGAGGCAATCCAGTTACTGGTTGAGCTTGACGGCTTTAAGTATGGTTTTCCCATTGACATATGCAAGTCCTTGGTTATTTTTGCTCTCAGCTCCGAAGGTGATTTACCAGAAATTTTTCTCATCTCCACGTACTTCGGCAGCTTATTGACTACTTCCTCAGCTGCTCCGAGAGCGGCCGAGTCTTCATCAGCATTCATTTACGTGAGATAAGATGACTTGCAAAAACAAGCAAAGAAGAAAAATTCTGGGCTGTCTCTGCTTCGATGACGTGTATACGTCAGCAGAGCAGCCCCATACAGCAGATTAATTGTTGATTGGAATCCAAGAAAATAAGGATACTAAACGATTGCCAAAAAGCCAAGGTGAAACTAGGTTTCCGGGTGATTTTTTTTTTTTTTTTTTTTTTTTTTTTAACGCACTATACGCGAAATAATTGAAAAAGAGGAATTTACTACAATTTTTCACGGAGCGCACAATAAAAAGTCGACTAGTCACTTTGACAGCTACCAGGGTTGAGTGCAGCTATCACTGCAATTAGTATGTGTCTGCATTTTGCATGTGCCACGCCCCCATTCCCATTCCCAGAACCCACTCCCAATCCTATCTCACGCAGCTCATGTCAATTTGCAAGAGTCCCAAAGGGCGCTACGTCTGCACAAATTGTTTGAACACAGCGTCCCGCGACCGGCCTGAGGTTTATTCAACTAATTTTCAATGCGCGCCTATTTGTATGCAATGGAAATTTTCGATGTCCCTACACTGCCTTATCGACTGTGCCAGGCAGTAAGCTGGACACCTCGCAGCATTCATTTGTTGAACTAAACGTTTCGAACCTATTCGCTTTAGCATGGGCAGAAAATGTTCGGGAGAATGTGGCAATTGTAGGCTATAAATACAGTGACACACAAAAGTATGTCTGCCTTTAAACAAATTTCTGCTTTTTCAAGTATGTTTCTTTAGAGAAAATCTTTAAAGAGGTGGTTCTGGTAAAAGTTATTTCGGCAGAGAGATTGGCTGCAAATATCCAATACTATAGTAATAAGCATATCTTCGTTTAAAAATGTATTGAATATTAGCACTAATAAGGAAATAAACCAACATTTATTTGAATGATTCAAACATTTATTTAAGCACATGCAACAAATAATTGAAACACACGCTTTTAATTAAAATTCGAATTCAAAATTTTATTATTTATTATTTTATTCTAGAAGATTGTCATTGGCAAATAATTTGTTCTTATAAAATTGTTTGAACAGTAGAAAACGAACTCCAAAGTTATGTTTATATATTTTAATTGATGTTCATTAATATAGTAGTAATAACACATAATTCTCTGAAAAAATTAAGTAAGTCAAGTTAAAATCCTTTTTCCAATACTTCAAACAAATATTAGTCATCTACATCCCATACCTAACATTAATAATTCCCCAGTTCTGATGCTCAAGAATAAATGAATTTAAAAAATACTTTTGAAATACGAGTATGAAAAACCAAACAAAGGGCACACAATTACCTTTGTGCTGTTTACATCGACTTCGTACATGATTTGTTTGTTTTAAGAGCGTTCCCAAAAGCCTTTTCTAACTGTTTTATTAAGCCAATACACACACACACACACACACACACATGTACACCCTTGTGCGTGATTTATTCGTCTAACAACACCAACAAATGAGAACCATAAAAATATAAATGGATCCTTTCTTCCATCCCTTGAGCGTCAAGCATAATTCCCATTCAATGTTTAATTTGGCATAAGCTGCCATCATGGGCCGAGAAACGGGAGAATTAAATAATAAAAGCAGCCAGCTAAATAATTAGTTTACGTACACCCGCACACACACACACACGTGGCACACATAGCTAAAATTTCCAAATCACAAACAATGCTTATTGATGCTGCATAATAGCGATACACACATACAGACATTCATGCAACGATAAACCGCGCGGCAAGCTGCAAAACAAAGTGCTCCATACTCGCACAGACAGCCAGACATATGTTTGTAGATATAACATACTATATACATATGTATGTACATATGTATGTAGGTATATAGGTATAACCGCAGATTCGCATAGCAAGGAGCGGCAGAAAAGGCACAAGCACACGGCCTCGTTTGGTTTTGTTGGTTGATTCCCGGATTGGTTGGTGTTGGTGGCTTGGTTGGTTGACTGCCTCGTTGCCAGTTGGCCGCTTGATTGGAAATGCGAGGCTTGCGAACTTGTTTATGTGTGCTTATGCATATATATGTGTGTGTGTGCGTGTGCCCGCAAAATGCGCTTAAACAATAAGCCAACAACAGCAATAGCAAAAGCAATAGCAACAGCAACGGAACAAAGCCAACAAACAATCAGCAGTAGAGTGGATCGGAAAATGAAGATAAAAAGCGATGTCTCCGCGATTGAAAGTCGAAGCGTGCATGCTCTTCAATTATATTGCTCTAGTTACTTGTATATTGTATGTGTATATTAAAAAAAATCTAGATCCAGATCCTAAATAGTGCACATTATTGATGCAGATAGTTCAGAAAAACTATAAGGTTTATATTTGGAAAAATGCATTTGTTAGTGTTTTTAATCGATCGGGCGAAATTTGGGAGAACAAGATTTCTGTGGCACCCCAGTATATCTTTTATTTGCAAATCGATTTTATTTGCATTAACAAATGCTTACAGATAATTCCACAGTTATATCCACATTGCCAAAACGAGACCATTAAGATAGAAAAGAGTGGCCTATTTAGACCCCGGACAATCGGAAGAATACATTTTAGCTGATTAAATTGAATACATTAAAAAATTGTATTATTTGGAAAATCATTTCACATCCTACACTATCTATTTTTATTGTTTGGCCGGCTCGAGGTCAGAGTAAGAAAAACCAATTTATTTAATTTTCTTTTCTTTTTCCTACACTATCTCAATCATAAAGCATTTGCTTGTGGTTCACTGAACATTCTTTGAATATTTTAACTTCTTGTAAGCTAAAAATATAACATCTTTCATAGATATTGGATCCCCTTTTTAAATATGGAAACTATAGTCATGTATTTTATAGATTGCGATCTCTTCGATCAGCAATAAATATTTCGCTTACTATTTTAGAATATTGCAAAGTTTAAATTAATTACAGATCCTGATGTTTGGGTTTATATTTATATAATTTATATTAAACGCATCGATTATGCATTTTATACCTTTTTCCGAATATTTGTTGTTTCTATTACGGACTCTCTTATAATAATTTAGATATTATTGTTGTCCTTTTTTTGTGAAATAAACATCATCCACGAGGCATAAATATAGAAAAGAAAGCCAGCATAAAATCGTTTAAGAAAATAAATAATTAATAATAATTAATTCATATATTTTATAAGTCACATTTTTTTACGCCATTATAATTGTAGTTTTTAAATATATAAAAAATTCTTTTCGCATCGTTCGCATTTTATTTAAATAATTAAGTATTATTCTTAATTAATTATTAATTTCTGTTAGGTTGAATTTTATTTGTTTAAAAATGTGAAAACAAAGATAAATTGTTTTCTTAATAACAAAACATTGATCAGTCATATATTTAAGTCTTAAAATGTTTGTTAGAAATAGATAAATATTTTTTTTATCAATATTTTTGTTGACTTGCCTTATCTTGCATTGAAGGCATTGCTTTCTTTTGAAGAGTATTTAAAACAATGCCAAATATCAAGAGAGTCGAACAGCGTGCTCGGTTATGCCACAAGCAAATTAATTTTCTGCCATAAAGTCAATCAAAGTGCGGGGGCATGGCATTTATTTTAAATGCCAATGCGAGCGCACCTGCACAGAAAACTTCAAACAACTCGAATTGTTGAGCGCTTCGACAGTTTTTCACTGCGGCTCAAATGCATTTGTGTATGAGTGTATGAATGTATGAGTGTGTGTGTGTGTGTGTGTGTGTGTTGGTGAGAACCCACATGCCATTGCTATTTCATTTCACTTTTTCTCTAAGACTGTCCGGCACCATCACCGACGCCAACGCCTTTTGTTATTCAACGATACGCCGAGTATTTGCGATGCCAGTTCGAATGCAATGCAATTTTGTTTGGTATGCAGGGCACACGTTTTTATGGCAAGTGAGTTGCTCGGTCATGGCTATATGTGTGTATGTGTGAGTGTGTATGTATGTATGGGCGTGGTGTGGCAATGCCAATAGAAGGAATAATGTGACAAGTCCTTCGAATGTCTCTAGTATGCCAATGATTCATTTAAAAAATTCCATCGCATGGCATTAGAAAATGAAAACAAATAACGAATAAGAAATAAAAGAAAGCAAATAGCTTTTATTCGTCTCTTCTCTCCATCCTTTCAGGTGAATCCCTCGCTTGTCCGTCATCACAAAATTTTACGCGATACCCGCACAGACATGGAGACCTCTATTGTGAGCATACACTTTGTTGTTTCCGATCAGCATTTCGACAACGGCAAACTAAAGGTAAGTGCCAGAGAACGCAGGATAATTATAAAGCTATTTGGAAGGACGATCCAGTTTTCAACATTTTGTTCACTTTCTCTCTCTTGCTTTCTTTTTTCTATTGCGCTATTAGTTACGCTGCAGCGCACAACTGCATGATGTATATTGGAAGACCACAGAGAAAACCATACTCGAGGCAGATCCGTTTGCCAAATATGGTGGGAATCGCGTGGGCAACGACGAGCTCTACGACCAGTATGCCCTGCACGAGGACGAGCAGTTTCACAATAAAAAGAACAGCTACCTGACGCAGCTCCAGGGTTAGTTACATTGCCAATTAGCTCTGCACCAACAGTCTCGAACTATGCACTATTCGCACAAAACATGCACAACTAGAGATGGGCAGAGGGTGTAACTCTTTCTGGTTTATAAGCATTATTAATTTCAATTATTTGATGGCTTATTTGTTATTTATAGCTGCTATGTCTGGAAAGACTTCTATTTGCATGTTTCTATTAATTGTTTAAGCCTAGTTCTTGTTATGAAAATGGCTGCTTTTTGCTTGAATTGTAATTATTTAAAGGTTTTTGTTCCGCTTTTAGCATGCGTTTTAAAAAACACTATTGCAGCTAGAATTTAAAAGTTGCATCAAGACGTTGAGAAGAAAACTCTTAACTCCATCATTATTTTGAAAAATTCCTATTAAAAAAATTGAAAAAGGTAATTTTTTTAATTTAATTTTTAAACCTTTTTGTTTCGCTTTTAGCATGCCTTTTAAAAAAACACTATTTCAGCTAGAATTTAAAAGTTGCATCAAGACGCTGAGACGAAAACTCTAAGTCCCATCATTATTTTGATAAATTCTCTTCAAAAAATTGAAAAAGGTATTTTTTTTATAGATATATGGGCAGAAGCTGCAACTCTGTGTCTTTTATTTAATCCTCATAGGTATAATTAATTTCATTTATTAAATAGCTTCTTAGTTAATTATAGCTGCTGCGTCTGGGAAGACTTATAATAGCATGTTTCTAATAATTATTTAAACCCATTTCTATTTACGAAGATAGCTCGCTCTTTTTTGTTGCTTGAATTATAATTATTTAAATATTACTGTTTCGCTTTTAGCGAAAGTTAGAATTTATTAAAATGTTGAGAAGAAAACTCTATGCCCCATTAATTGATAAATTTTTATCTAAAAATTAAAAAAAAAGTCATTTTTGTTATTTATAGTTTTAAGTCATTCAAAAAATTCCTTTAAAAAAACCCTATTGAAGCTGGAATTTATCAAAACGTAGAGAAGAAAACTCTAACGGCCTCATTTGATAAATTTTTATCCAAAAATGTATAAAAAGTATCTTAGTTTTTATTTATAGTTTTGAGTCATTAAAAAATTCTGGTAGTTTTAATTTATAGTTGTGTCTTTTATTTAATCCTCGTAAGAATAATTAATTTGATTTATTAAATGGCTTGCTAGTTATTTATAGCTGCAGGGTCTAGGAAGAGCTTTATTTGCATGTCTCTCTATTATTTTTTTAAACCTATTTCTTTTTAGGAAAGCAACTCCTTTTTTCTTAAATTATTACTTTCTAAATTTTTTAGATTTACTTTTAGCATGCATTTAAAAAAACGCTATTGAAGCTAGAATTTAAAGTATCAAGACTTTATTATGATAAGTTCTTATTCTTAAATTTAATATAATTATTTTTCAATTTAGTTGTGAGTTATTCAAGAAATAGTGATACATTTTAGTGAATTAAGCACAGCCTATGGGACGCCCAGCATTCATCTCCCATCTCTAAGTAGTTAACTATTAGCTCTCATGCATACTCGCACACACACATACAGACACACGCAAAGAAACTCATATGACATACAATGTATGCTCTCTATTTCTCGCTAGACCTGTTCTTTCCTTTTGTACCCTCAGGCGAAGAAGATGATGGCGCTGGTGCGGAAGATGGCGGCGCCGCCTGGCGTGGGGCGCACAGCGGCAGCGGCTGTGGCAGCAACAGCAGAGCGTTAGAGGCGCGAAGTGTGGCGCTGCTCGGGACGCTGCTGGCTTTGCTCAGCTGGACGCTAGCCGGGCAATTAGTGAAGCAGTCGAGGCTGCAAAGGCCTCTGGCTAAAGCTGTTTCAAAGGCTACAACAACAGCAGCAACAGCAGCAACAACAAATATAAGTCTAGTGCTGAAAAGCAGCGCGACGCAAAGCATGCGGGCGCCACGAATGCTGGGCAGTGGCCGTTGGGCGGGCGCAGGCGTGGAGGCCGACAGCAACAGCAGGCAATTAACATGATTTAATTGTCACGCAACTCATGTGCCACAGTTCAGGGAGTAGGAGCAGGAGCAGGAGCAGGAGGAGGAGGAGAAGGACGATGCAACGGAAGCAACGGATGCAGCTATCGGGGCTGCCAATTGTTGAAGCAAAGAAAACATTTTTGTGCTTTTGTTCACAAACACAAAGGGGGGCGCAGAAAGGAAATACAAAAAGCAAACTCGAGACAAATTGAAAATGCAAACGGAAACTGAAACTGAAACAACGGCAGCAAATGCATCTCTAAGATATTCACACTCTCACCCAGACACACACACACAAACACACACACTTATACACACACACACACACATATTAATGTTTCAGCTAGCTCAAGTATAAAATAAAATGCATTTAAAATGATAGAAAACAGAAGCAAAGGCATGGGCAGAGGAAGCATCGCATTGCATTGCATTTGATGGCAATATTGTCTAGAGTTCAGCGCGCGATTCATTATTTACAAAATAATTAATTTCTCTTGGCATCAAAGTTTATTTCCATGTAACGATAAATAAACAAAAATGTTGTGCTAAGCTTCTCAATTTAGTTCTTAAACAAAGTTTATATGTAAATGTAATAAGACATACTTACATCAAAGAATATTTATATACATACATACACATATATATGACAAATTATATATGATTGATATTGAAGTGTATATGTACCATATAAAAAAAAACCAGAACAAAAAAAACCAAAAAACATAACGATATTATGCCTAAATGTAAAAGATAAATTTCCGTAGTAGAGGCAGGAGGCGAAAACAAAGCATATAGCCTGTAAGTCTAATTATATGCCTATGTGTATGTGAAAGAATATATGTATTGTATATAAGTATATGAAAACGAGAATTGTACGTTAAGTATTTACGGTAGATAATCAAAATAAAAGAAAGCGAAGAAAAGGCAAAACGAACTACCTTTTTTTTTATTGGCAAGGCTTAAATGGTAAGTTATACAAAATGAGAAAATAATAAAATAGTGGAAAATAATTTGGCAATAATAAATATTTCTTCAAAAATAAAATTGATTAACTCAAGAAATGTCAATTTTTTTCTATATTAATTAATTAATTAATTAATTATATTATAGTTATTATTATAATTTCTTAGTTAAAAAAGATTTCGTAATCTCTCTTTTTTTCTTTCTTTTTCTTTTAATTAGTGAAAAAACTAAATAGCATACCCTTTTGGGGATACAAGATATAAAATAAACTGCATATTCACTCGCCTTAGCTAACCTTTTTCATTTGTCATTGATAAATAAATAAATGCAGAAATTCTAAGATACAAAGATAAAATAAATAAATAAATAAATTCAGATTTTTGTTTACATATTTGTCAAAAGGAGCTTACGGTAAAACGACTATGCTATAAATTAATTAATTTCTGTTGTGCTCCATTTAAGCTGAAGAATGAATCCAAAAGCAGCTAAAACAGCCATTGAAATTCTTTTCAAAAGGAAACCTATTTTACTTTCAAAGGAGTTCAAACTTAATGCTATACTTTAATTTTAATTTCGGTTTCACAGAACTTATACAAGGCATTAATTCCTGTTTAAAACCTTATTGTTGCGAATCAATACAAAAACTCGTATTTTTAATGCACGAATTTTAATATAAAGAAATGATAATCATATCTATATTATATTCTAGTTATCTGTATCTGTTTCATATGAATGAATGCATAAAGAATATGTAATAGTTTCAGCCACAAATATAATTCCGCAGCTATGGTTTTTACTGTAATCTTAACGAACACTTCCCCCCTACAGTGGATAATATTCTCCCTTCAACATGAATCCCATATCTAAGATACTGATGGTTAAAAACAAAAATTAGAAAAAATAAGAAGTTAAAATTACAAAATTACTTTTGTTAAATTTAGTTAATCGCATAACAACGATGTGGTTTTTGGAAATGATTTTAGAGGGGTTTCTATGCAATTAGTTTCATGTGCTTAAAGAAACTGTTCAACATAAATCATTCTATCGAAAACAATCAAGATTTAGTTTACAGAAACTACATATTATTTAATATTCTCGTACTATTTTCTACAATATTAAAATAATAATTTTTGGCCTGTCATTTTTTTCATTCTTTTTTAGATTCTGTTCACTATTCTGAATCTTCATAAAAAAGGCTTGCCACACACAGCTTATATGCAGATTTCTAGTTATAATCTAAGCCAATCGGTCCTAAAAAAAAGGCATAAGCTAAACAATTTTATTACTCGACTATGACTCCAAAACTGGAGCTGCATTTTGTTCTTTTTCTTCTTCTATAAACGCAGCAAGCTTTTGTGTGAAAATCGTGGCTGTGCTTATAAAGGTGCTGGAATTAAATTTCACTTGATTATTTTGTTTTTGGGAAATGCAAAATAAGTAAAGAGGGCTAACTAAAGGAAGAGTGAATGAAGATTGGACGGGACAATGAACAATGGAGAAATACGCGGATTTTTTTATAACAGAAGCGTAAAAAGCTTCAATGCAGGCTCGGTTTCAGGCTAGGATGTTGTTTTATTTGATTGAGGGAGGATCAGCAATAAATGAACTTAAATAATCAATACAGATGAAATAGAATTATGCATTAAAAAAAAATTTTTTTACCACTTCCTGCATCAATCACTGTTTAGTGAACCCGTAATTCATGAATTAAATGAAATTAAAATGTGGCTCTTGTGCACACACAATTAACGCTTCGAGTGCGGGACGCTGCTAATACAATATATAGCGCCATATAATATTCATAACTTTTACTTGAGCTGCTGCTTTTCAATTATGCGTTGCTTTGACACAGCAACTTTCACTTTTTTTCGTGCACTAGCACTCGTATTGTAATAAATTTGCATAACGTTGAGTTTTGAGCTTTTAGTGGGGCAGTGGCGACAGCTACTTAAATGAAGCCTAGTATGTAAATATGCGCAACATTGTGACAGCAGGAGGGGATGAGGAACTACAACTACAACAACAAGTACAAGTAAATATCCCTACTTATTTACGTTCAACAAAAAGCGGCTTGGTTGGTTGGTTGGTGAGCTACTTTTTGAAGTTGGTTTTTGAGTTGGCAGCGACGACCACGACGGTCGCCACTTGCAGACTTTTGAATAAATTTTCAAACCTCGACTTTCGCTCAACTTTGGGCAGCAGGAAGAGATGTAGCTGCTGGTGACAATCGGCATTATGAATATGCGCATTATTGTATGTGTCGCCGTTGTTCATGTAGTTGTTGTTGTTGTCGTTGTTGTCGCCTGAGCCAGTTTGTCGCTAAGTGCAAAGCCAAGCCAAGTTGCAGAACATTTATTTTTTACTTGAGTAGTAGTTGCTCTGGCTTTTCTGACTGCCTCTTCTCATATATATATTTTTTGCTTATTTTTTCGAGACAAATATTTAAAAGCCGCTTTACTTGTGTAAGTGCTGCCTGCGAACACATAGACAACTTCGAAAGTTTTTTTGGTGAGCGAAAATAAAGAAGTAACACAAAGAAAAAAAACACGCTGGAGAAAAGTTTGGCATTTGTTAAATGCTTTTAGCTGCTTTGCCAGAACTTAAGAAGTTACGCTTGAAATGCCAAAAATTGTTTGCTACAAGCCATTGAAAAATATGAGCAGCAGCTTAACAGCAGCAGCAGCAGCAGCAGCAAGTTCGTTTCAAGTTTTGCGAGCGGCGGGTCACGGCGGCCATGGCGGGCATGGCGGGAGGTGCAAAAAGAAATAATTAAGCACTAAACAGCTGATAACAAATCTTCAATTAAATAAACCCAATTAAATTTAATGCCTGCCGCGCAAAAACAAACGGCGCTAATAAAGAAAATGCTCGCAGAAGACAACAACAACAACAACAGCAATAGCGCAAAGAAAAGCAAAACACAGAAAAAAAAAACAAACGAAACAAAACAATAAAAACAAACCTGCCCTGCACAAACGTGGCCAAAACGAAGTGCGGCAACTTCTCTTTGGTGGTCAACCGCCATTAACGTTTATTACACCCACAAATCGCAGACAATGAAACCGCACACAACATGCATAGCAGAAGCACCACACAGCACAACAGCAGAAAGCAAAAAGCTCCAAACACACACACACACACACACACACGCGCGTCTTCAAAATGGGAGAGAAGACAAAGCAAAAAATATAATTAAAAATAAACATTACGTATACGCAACGAGACAATGCCACTTTTTTCGGCTGCACGCCGTGCGAGAGAGTATGTGTGAAGAGACAACAGCAGGTAAATAGAAAAGAAAAAGCACACGAATAATTCAATTGCTGCAGCACAACGAAGGCGCGATGCTCTAACAAAGCAATCATTTCTATTTGTAAAAATGTGTATATTTTTCAAATAAAATGTAATAAATTAATTGACTTCCCCTTCTACTAAACAAAGGTTATCAATCATTGGCACGCACCTAACCTAACCTAACTTAACTTACGGTTCATTAAATACAAAACAATCGCTGATTCCAATTCATTCAATCGTGATTTCAAATTAGGAACAACCCTCATTTGGGAAGGTACAAAAGTTAATTAGCTTGAGTGCAAAATAGTGTTTCAACTTTGGATAAAAATATTCGATTATCTGCTTAATATAATTGCTATTGTTGCTGATGTTGATAGGCAGCTACTTTTTTATCTCATAAAATTTCTAATAGTTTGGCAGTCGTATGAATTGCTTTACATTGTTATTGTCGTATTTAAAAAGAGCCTCAACCAGTGTTTTTCAGCTTGAGCATTTTTGTGTCCTGCTCTGTAATTAAGAGCAATTTAAGTATACACCTAATTCTGTTTTTAAACATATTTAAAATTTACTAGATATGCGGACTTGAAAGCACTAACAAATCTGAATGGGATTTTCAACGACTGAGTGAGAAAAAATCGCTAAAAGGTACAGACATTACTGTGGAGTACGCATTATAACTTCTTTTTTTTTTTTAGCAATAACTGCAAAAGGATGCCCAAACCACATATTATTATTAATAAT